CATCAATAAGAAACCTGGAAAGTTACCACTATCAAAAAGCTTAAGGGATCGAGTTTGTAATTCTCTGATGAATTACGATTAACAGTCTAGATTACTACAATAACAAAGCACTATCTTCTTTACCAATTACAAAACAAACCTGAAATCTGTTTTACTTGAAGCAGCTTACATTTTGTTGAGCCCCCCAGAATCACTGCTTGTTTAGTTCCTTTCTCTTCAGCTACTGCCGCTGCTGCTTCTACTTTCTTTGCATTATCTGCCATGACAGTGAAAAACTAAAGTTTACAGAGGAATATGGAAGGCTAGAGTTTTTGAGGGATGCCACTGAACTAATAATGTTGGGTGTTTATATAGTTACCTATTTTAATTGGACTTTTGTATAAATAAATTGATCCGTTTTACTGATTCAGTGGAAGATTCATAGGGATAACGGTGGAGACTAAATGGTACAATTAGATGAGATATCCTAGGAAAATAGTTAGCAACAGTATTTAACTATTTCTGATGGGAAAGTGACAAACATTTCTTTTAGATTTAGTGAAATGTAATAATTTTAATTCCTATACTAACAAGAACTATGTAATAATCTGCATAAACTTTTTTGTTTAATAGGAAAAATGATCCAGGACATAGACATTATATGTATTTTTACAGATTTCTATTTCTAATAATTTATTTAGTTTAGCACCTGACCATTCGGATTAAGTGGTTTTCGAGTCACCTTGAAGGTGCAGTTCTCCCTCTTCTTGATGAATTCGAAGTTTGAATTCCACCCTTGTCACTTTGTTTAAAAAAAATAAATTTGTTTAGTTTAAGAAGAACAATAATTTTCTTTAGTGATATTTTATTTTTTAAAACAGTATTTAGAATTTGATGATATTTTATTAGAAAAATGTAATTTTGAGGTTATGTTTTTCTTAATTTTTTTAAATATAATTGATAAACAATACTAACTTTTTAATTAAAAATAATAAATTTAGATGTGGGGATAAGAAGTCGTGTAAAAACTAAAAAGATTTGTACAAATCATTTTCTCGGGTAATTTTTTTGGAAATGATGTTGGAATAGTTTTTTTGTTTTATTTTTATTTTTATAATTTGATGTATTATTTGTATGATTAATTTTTATTTATTTATATGAATTTTATGATATTAAATATATTTATTTATTTAATAATATATAAAAATAATATAAAAGTGATATAAAAATGTTATTATTTTTATTTTTTTAATACATCTTGCCATTGGCGGCTTTTAGGATAACACATGGCGCAATATTATTGCACGGTGGACAAAGCAATAGAGAATTAACTTCGAGACTCATTCTAAATCCCTAATTCAAGTTTCAAATCGAAAACCAGTATTCTCGCTCTTCTGCTCTTTGATCGGATCAGTTATGGCGGACGGGGTAAGTTTCTTCTCTCTCAATTTTCATCCCGCTCCTTTTCGTTTCAGTGAAGAATCTGCAGAAAATGAAGGAAAAATTAAAAAAAATCTATCAAATCAAGTCGGAAAATCTTTTACTAGAATTGCAAAGCTTTCTATCTTATTTCTCCGGCGGCTTTCTTTTGACGCCACACTGCCGGTGGTTGAAACCATGATGCGAGCTCTTATACTTTTCGTATCAATCTGTTTCTCTGTTTACATTAACGGTGTGTGTATATATATATATTTATTTGTTTATGTGAATGCTATACTTCAATTTGCTATCATGTGTATCGATGCGTTTGAGTGAGATTCGTGATATACTGCCAAACTGTAGATTGTAGAATTTCCATGCTTTTGGATGATGGAATTAGACGTTTGTGTTCTTTCCATTTAGATTGTGCTGCAAATTATTGGTTTTAAGTTATGCTTGTCTATGGCATTTCTGGTCCACTATGGTTAGTATGTGTGTTTTTCTCATTCAAGCATATTGGCCAAAGCAAAACTTTGTATGTGTACATTCTAGTTGTCACTTTTCGAAACTAGAACTTGTTTCAAATTATCATATAATCACTTTATAGGTTATCGTGCAAAACCATCCATAAAATATGCCATTTTGTTGTTTGGTTTTGTGATTAGCCTTTTGCCCTTCTACTAAATTTGCATTAAGTTAGTCTTGATTCACATTTTCCTTAATGTTATAGCTTTTTACTCTGATTGTCCATCAGATTGAGCTGAAAACTGCTCCTGCTGA